CTATTAATTGATTTATTGTTACTGTTGGGTTAAATATAATATATTATTAAAACATTTGTGATTTCGTGACTTGTCGGGAACTACGTTAAAGCGGAGGCAAATTCTCGACAGGCCATGTCGTCCAGTGCCAGTGCTGACGACCGTTCAAGTACGACGAAAACGTAAAGCAATCGTATCAACTAAGTTCAGAAACACAATAAATGCATCCTATTAACAAGTTAGATATATTTTTTACATATATTGCTAATATGACATGTTTTGAATTATTTCGTTATTAAATATTATAACGGTTAAATATTCAAAATGTATAGGACATTCAGACCGCCTGTGATTTATTCAGCGATCTGGCTGGCAACCCTGATCTCGGTTGCATTTTCGAATACTTTTCCGAAAAAATGTGCGGCAGTCGAAAGATGTCCAGCCCCTGAATATAAATCAATAAAAATGTAAAAAATGATTTTTACATTTTTACATTGAATTCAGTGTTGTTCGTCATATGTAACCTTAAATCGCTTTTTACTAGTAAATCATCGCGAGTTGATCAACAATGATCTGGCGCTGGCAAACGGTAACGATTTGAGAGTGTATTTCCGAAAAGATGAAGACTGCCGGCCAAGAGAACTTGATCGAGTCTTGGAAAATATCGCCACAACGAAGACAAGAGTTTTGTTCAGACTTCAAGAAGACTTGAGCGAAACTGTTCGTGATGGATCCGCTTACTACATAGTTTATGGTAACGTCTTTATATAGTTTAATTTGATAATATCGCAAATCATGATCCGCGTATGAAGGGGATATAAAAACTGCACAGTTCTAAAATGTGCACTAAACTTAACTGAAAATTCCGCAAAATTTTTGACTTAACAGTTTAAAACGTTTATGTACAAAACTGTTAAGTTCCTAGTTACTTGCCAAGAAAATTTATTCCATTTGCGAGGCTCTAATTATAAACCTTTTGTTCCAAGACCCTTATAACTGAATCCTTAAAGAAAAGCCTTACTTCTATAGAGGCTACCCAATGGAACGATATATACCCGTCGAAATCGCTAGAGCTCAATCTCTTGCTGAGTTTAAATCTAAAATTTCTTAATTATTTTATTATTTATATATTTGTTTCATGTAGTTTTGTAAATATTTTGAAGCTTATTTATTAGAAATTAGTTTACTAGCATAGGTAGACGTTTCCATTGAAGAGCACATACTTTAACTTGTGAAATGGATCTCGTGTTTTAATCAATCAATCAATCAATCAAAACTTTATGTTTGTAGGAGTAGTTTGGGATGTTCTCAGGTATCTTTAACGCAAAATTATTCTGAGTAAATTTTCGACTGTGTACTGTAGCGAGGCCGTTTTTTGAAACCACGAATAAAAATTGCTTGCGCAAAAAAAGGAAGGTTTGAAACGTAATTTGAATTCATAAGGTGTCAATTTACACCATATTCTGCTATATATTTTTCCAGGAAATAAAGACGCCGGCAAGGCCAGGCAAAATCCAGAAAATGTCTACTTATTCTACGACGATTTCTCCGACTTAAACCTGGAGAAAAAGTGGCAGAAAAACTGGGGCGCTATTCGTGCAGAAAACGGTGTGTTGAAATTGAGAACTCGCCGAACGCCAACCGGCGATAACGCTGAAATTTCAGTCTTTGTCAAACACGGCCATGAATGGGAAGATATCGAAGTGGAACTCGACTTTAATGAAAGAAGTACCGGGACAGAATATCCAGGGCCATTTCTGAGAGTTCAGGATGTGAGGATTCAGAGCACTACTGCGTGGTGGTTCCAATATAAATCAGGAAGCAAAGATTGTACCATGAGGCCCTTCAATAATAACATGGACGGAAGTTGGTTATACACGGGCACCTTAACTAAACCGTTGTCTGCAGGAACATGGTTTCACGCTAAATATCGCGTAGCTGGTGACAGGTTTGTAGGCCTTTTTAAGAATTCGTAATAGCATGGTTTCCAGTGCAATTTTGATATAACATGCGCAAGTGAGTTTTTCAAAGACCTCAAAATAGCACGAGTCCGAAGGACGAGTGCTATTTGAGGTCTTTGAAAAACTCACGAGTGCATGTTTATCCAAATTTCACGAGAACATGTTATTATATATACTTATTAATAATTTACATATTTGTTCATAGTGATTACAGAAAATTGCACTGTGATTACAGAAAATTACATTGTATACGTGATTACAGAAAATTGCACTGTGATTACATATTTTTGCACTGCTGTTTGGGATTAACTGCATTGAAACCAAGCGAGATTATCTATAGTGCGAGCTGCGAGTTGCGAGTTGCGAGTTGCGAGCTGCGAGTTGCGAGCTGCGAGCTGCGAGTTGCGAGTTGCGAGTTGCGAGTTGCGAGTTGCGAGCTGCGAGCTGCGAGTTGCGAGCTGCGAGTTGCGAGTTGCGAGTTGCGAGTTGCGAGTTACGAGTTGCGAGTTACGAGTATATTGTTAATTTCTAATAACATCGGGTTTAATTTTAACCCAGGGTTAACACTAACCTAGCTTTGAAGCACCGAACCAGGTGTTTACACCTGTGGTTTACACTAAAAATTCAAATTGAAAACTGTATG